CAGGAAACAGGAAACAGTACAAGAAGATTTCATATAATCTTCTACATTCTGAACAAATCACTGTCTACAAAAGTCTATATGCAAAAAAAAAAAAAAGAAACATTTTCCATCACTCTAAATTACAGATGTGACAGTTTGTGTAGCTGTTAGACAGTGTGTTGGTTTTACAAAAATATCCACTAAAGGTCAAGGTGCCCACAAGCCGTAAAGACAGGCTTAGGAGGAGAAGGTGTTTAAACTCCACTCACGTTGCTCTGTAGCATTCAGGAAAAGGCTGCACACAATATGGTTGTCTCAGAAGATGATTTCCAATTTTCATCAGCCAAGTATTAAATCACTGCGCTGCCAATATTGCGTGCCAAGTTGGAGTGACAGTGAAACACTACAGCTAAATCTTCTGTTTGTAGTACATGAAATGAAGCAGTCACCTTCCAGTATATCTTAATCACAGAGATTAATTTGGTAGTCGATACTGGAGAAGAGCGCAGTGTGGGGGAAAACAAGCATCAAAGTAAAAGGTCTTGAAAGAATTTTTATGCATGAGTTTTGCAGATCACGTTTCGTGAAAAGTAATGTAGAGAGTGTTGTGCCGTTTAAACTCAGCAGTGGAAAAGGGAAGTAAACAAAGGCCTTGAGTCCTTTTCGAATATTGTGAATGTAGATGAAAAGGAAGGAACTGTATGTGTATTTAGTCGAGGATTAAGATTTTATAAACAGATGCAGCGAAGTCGAAAAAAAAAAAAGTAATTAAACAGCTGAAATAACCTGCAGCACGACAGTTTATTATAGCAAGGACAGAAACAGCATGTACTGTACAACATTGTAGATGACAGGAGGGAGACAGAGGCAGGAGGATGGGAAGGGGAAAGGAGAGACTCTGTTAGCAACCTTCTGTTAAGATTTGGCAATGGACAATCCGCTTCATCCACTCCTGTCTCGTTACTGTGACACTCCAGCCCATTAAATAGAATAGATTATTGATTTTGCTCTCTTCGCCCGGTCTGAGATTTTCCGCCAGACTCTCTGTGCTGTAAGAGAAGTGCTGAAGAAAAGCACAAGTCATTATGTGTACTGCCACACAATGATACATCACTTAACCAAATGGGGAGGGCTCCATGAAAAAAAAAAAAACCTCGTCACTGCAGCTGCACTGTTCTCTGGAGGCTGTCGGTTGTCATGGTGCTAATGTAGAAATTAAGTTTAAACTTCTCATGAGGCATAATGATTGAAATGAGACTGTGGTCACTGCAAAATGCCCGGGCTGTTTTTTGTATCGATCTTGTGTCAGGAAAGACAAGGTGAGCCTGTTTGATAATCAACAAAAGTGGTGCTGAGGAAAAACTCCCTGTTCATCATCAGACTTGGGTATTGACTGATGACATCACATCCCCAGGTGCCCATCACAGGACCATTCACCTGGCTCCGCTCTCCTCAAGAATTGATTTATTCTTCATATTCAGCTTCTTGTTCTTGTCACCTAATATTTTGTTGCAATCTCTCTTGTACCCTGGACCAATAAAGGTTCAACTGCTGCAATACCCGGTGGAATTGCCATTATATTGTGTTAATGTGCTAGATGTGTTATTTTCCAGTTAGGTTAAACTGCATTGACTGCAAGATCTTATTGAAGTATTTTAATCAAGTTACTTCACCCTTAACTACATTACTATGTAACATTTTCACTCAATGTCCAACAAATTTGTGTACTTACTAAACAAAAGTTCTTTAGAAAGCTATAATGACTTCACCTATTATACTACAGAGTTGCAAACAGAAAACAGTTGATTTTCTGCCCAGATGACCCTTACCTGTGAACATCTGGCCAGAAAAATCAGGCCCTCTTAACTCTGCTCCTAATATAACTAATTACTGATTGACCTTCACTGTTGCCAAACTCCTCAAGAGGAAAAGTATGTAATGGTTGTCTGAATAGTTACTAAACGTTGCTTAATGACATCATCTGATTAGCATAAATGGCCAGCTAAATTCCCATGCCCATAAATGTAATAAATGCTGTAGGAAAAAGGAATAATGTTTTGAACCAGACAAAGGGTGAATAAGAAGTCTCTAGTCATAGGTTTGGAACAACGAGGGAGCTGCTTTCTGCTCACTTCTTTAGGTTACCGTTCCAACCCTTGATTCAGGTTCGGACTTAGCAAAATGAACCCAGAAAAAATTATTTGTTAAGTCTCTCTAACTTAGTTTAGAAAGTCAGAGAGGAATCAGTGAGTGCTGGAGGTTTCACACACGTGAGGGTCATCTGCAGGTTGGAAGTAAGAGTAAGATAACAGGTTCCTTTGGCCTAAATATGTTAGCTTGATGTTAAACCAGACTTGAGAATGACATCAGTCCCAGTCTTGAAGAACTTTCTAAATGGCATGTCAGTAGAGAATGAACAATTTTTTGACATATTAAGGACTTGTGCGTTATAATACAAATACCAAATGTAAAAACCAGTGAATCGATACAGTCCTCTCAAGTCATTTTATCACAATTTCCTCTGACTTTTCTTCCATGCATTTGTTTCACGTTACGGCTGAACCTTCTTGACCTGATTTTTGTTCATTAGTTTTTTTTTTCCTTTAGAATCCTTCAGCACCGTGTCGATGGACTCCTTTCCCTTCACTGACTTGTCTGATAGGATTTAGTCTCTTCTTTGGCGATGTAATCTTGGTTTCTCAGCAACTGTGATTCTGACTCGTCTCCTGATGATATAGCACATCCTTCTAATCTCAATGGTCATATGCCATCAAGGTGATTCTATTGCCTCTGTACAACGCATGCGCTGAATTAATGGGATTGAGGTGCTCAGTCAACTTTAAAAATTTGTTTTTGCCCTTCACTCTTCAGTGGCAAAAGATTCCCAATTTTGATCAATAAAAATGTGTAAATAATCTTCTGAGCAGCTTTGTTTAGTATCTTTTTTTTCACACTTGGTTTGTGTATGCATTAAGTTGGCAGGAGCAGAAGTAGAAAAAAATGAAGTGTGGAGAATACGACAGAAAAAGAGAACATAGAGGGAGAATCATTATGCAAGCCACAATCTTTCTGACCACAAGCAATTTCCTCAGCACTGTATGGCATGCATTGCAAAGTGTAAGGAGATAGATTTTTTATGGCAGGATTTCACTTTTTCTCCTCTGTTCCACTGCCACTTCCTGGGGTTACAAACGAGCCTGACTCATTTTTTACGGTGCAAATCCCCAAAGGAAAGCCTGTGGTCTGCCTCTGGCTTATAGTGAAATGCCACCAGTAGTGAGTGCTACAGCCTCACATTCGGCTTCCAGGCATTACAGCTACAAAGCCCAACAAAGCATCCTGGAGGCTTGGGATTGAGAAAATAATGTTAGCTGCTCCCACACTCCACCACTCCCAGCAAAACCAGCAGGTCACATTTATCGGTACTATGGGAATGGTGTTTGCATATCAGCTCTAAATGTTCCCAAGGCGAAAAGATGCGGAAATAATGTGAGAAAATAAGCATCTTGGCATACTTTAAATAATAATAATAAAAAACTAGCTAAAAATAAATATTGTAGAATCACCTTTTTCCTGATTTATCTTGACATTTCAGGAAAAGTGATCACTGGGTGTATTCATTTAAACAAAACTCATCAGGATGCTGTCTTTAGTTTTTCAGGCATTTACCCCTTTGGAAGCCAAAATGTGAGTTTTTCTTGTTGATTAAATGTCACAGTAGTAATGAAATACTATTATGTTCATTCATATTTGGGTAAAAAGTGAGAGAAACCATAATAAGCAATCCTGGATTCAGTTAAATGGTAATTGTGTTGAGATATACTCTAATTCAGTATTAATGCAATCAGCAACATTCAGAATGCCTGATGGCTTACTTAATGGAAGACCCAGTGCAATCATTCTTTTAATAGTGGATAAATAATTTCAGCATATATTTCATTGTTTTTGTTTTGAATGTGCATTTCAATGAACTATCTGCTTAATGTACTGAGAGTCCAAGAAAGCATGATTAAAGGATTAAACACAACATAAGATATAGTACAGCACCTTCAAAAAGTATTAATCAATCCATCCATTCCTATATTGTATCATTCACAAAAGTGGTGAATCTAAAACTAAAAAGTGTAGTGGTTCTTAACACTTAATCCTAATTGGGTTTAGTTTGCACTTTGAATAGACCAATATAACATATGAATATGCGTTAATCTAAACTAATGCATGATAGCATCAGATGAATGTTTGTGGTCTTAGTTCTGTGTTTATCTCTAATGACCTTCCCATCAACTCTGTGGAGATTCCCTGTCCCTATACTGAACAGAAGCATGATGCTCCCATCACCATATTTTGTGAGCTAGTCATTAAATCCTCTGCTATATATTTTCTGTATTGTTAACAATCCCAAATGGGATTTCTTGCAGTTCTCTTTTGACTAATATGTTGTTGCCCAACATATTCTCCAAACTATACGACATTTAAAAGCAGCTGCATTTATCTGTGTGGGAATAAATTACAGACTGTATTTATCAATTAGTTGACTTTTGAAAGTACTTTGCCACACTGTATTTTATTGTGGGAGTGTCAGAGAAAATGTACAGCACACTTTTCAGATTTGCATTTGTGAAAGATTTTTAAATTTGCCCTACGACTTTGCAACAACGGACAACTTTATGTTGGTCAATCACATGAAAGCCAAAATAAAGAAAATTAAAGCTGATGGTTTTAGAGAAAAAATATAAAAAATATCCAAAGGGTCTGAACACTTTTGGAAGGCACTGATAAAAACTCCCAACATGTCTGTTTTGACTTATTAATTAGATAGTTGCTCAAGCAGGTTTGTACCTTTTATAATATGCATATTGCAACAGTGTTTGCTGCCTCCTGACAAGTTGACAAATGCTGGGGAGACACACTGATCTAATGAAGTGTTTTCTACCTAATTATTGCTGAGAGTCGAGAATTACTTTAAAGGCTCCTCTTGATCATTTGTCATGCATTTGATGTCCTTTACAAGGCTCCACACATTGTAACAAGGATTTTATTAGTAAATGTCATGCAGGTTTGAGAAATTACTTTTTAAACATTAACTATTCATTCTGCATAAAATCAAGTCTTGATTTCTGCCCTGAAGAGTCGGGGAAGGTCTTCTAACAGCGGCATTGATCATTCATGAAGCTGTATTTTTTGATAAAAGGGCCCCTTTGAATAACCATATGAGAGTGTGTAATGGCCTGAAAGCAAAGTATGCTGTCTTTTTCATTTGCTTGCAGAGTGCCACTTCGGAGAGGTAGAGTGGAAATGAACAAGTGCGCGCTTTGGGCAGGTCAAATAGTTTGAGGTGATGAATGACTGCAACAGTTTAATTAATGAAGAATACAGAAACTGGAAGAGACCAGACGCAGATGTCACTTCTGACTGAAGACTCCCACATCTATGAAAGAAAAACAACAACATTTCAATGGGAAACCAGCTGCAATAATTTGCAAAAAGATTCCCTTTGGAATTAAAAAATCTGTTTATGTAAAAAAATTGCTTCCTTTTAGATAGAGTTTAATATAAAAGGAATACAACTGATGTACAGTGAGTTTATCACTATTGCTCATTTTCAACTCTTGTCTTTGATCACAGTGAAAACTTATGTGGTCATGGCAACAAAACCCACAGTTAAGAATAACTGTAGCTAAATCTATGACGTGACAAAAAAAAAGTGTTTTGCATATGGAAAACAAATCCACATGTGAATAGCATATGTTCACATACTTATATGTCTGGAAAAAAAAAAAGGAAATCATTTCCACACTTTACCAAGTTATATCATGTTCAGCTAGAATTCTATCCCGACAAACATCTCAGGACAATAAAAGCATTCATATTATATATTTTTGACTGACCTGAAAATCTAATAGTAATTTAAGAAGTCTTAAACTTGTAAAGAAACAAAAATATAGAGATAATTTCAAATAGCAATACTCCTATGAGTAACCATTCATTCCCATTCTACATACCTAATGTTTCGGCTAAATCCATTCCTGAAGAAAACCCCTCTTCCATGACCATTTTGAGGTCACTGTTGCCCATTTGGTGAATATGTCTGACCTTTGCCAGATGCCCAAATCACTCCAGTGGCATCGGGGAAACAAGTGTTTATTGCTTTCATTTAATAATGGCTCTAAGACAAGGCACAGCTCATTTGTGGCAGTAAAAAAGAAGCTAATTAATGGCTTTTTGCAATAATAATATGACCGTTTACAGAAAAATGACAAGCAAGAACTCAAGAGACAATCCTATGCAATTAAGAGAACCAATTTTACCGGTAAATCTTTACTGTCTCTTTCATTGTCTCTGCTCCCTGCAAGCCATATATCACTTCACTTAAATAAGAATAATTGGCTCAGGCAACAGGATATTTTTTTTTTCATTTATTTAACCAGGCCAGTAATTAGGAACAGCAATTTTAATAACAATAGTTGCCTGGAAAACAGTTGACTCCTAAATGAGGTAAGAGATTAAATATATACTTTTAAAACCTACAAGCTCAGGTTGAAACCAATTCAGCCCAAGAATTAAGGCATGACAGAAGGGTGTCCAATGTGTCTTTCATTAGGACTAGGTGATCCTCCCCGCTGAAAGGAAACAAAAATAATTGTTCTGTTATAAGGTCTTAAAACGTTCCTGAAATAGCAATACCTATATAGCAAAGTAGCAAAGTATTTTATAACCCTTTTTAAAACAGGGCAGTTGAAGATTTTCTACGACAACCACAACTATCATTCATTATGAACAACTGCCATAGGTTTAAGAGGGTAAACTTCACTTTTGCATTTACACTAGTTAAAGCTACCATGTTTATATTTAATTGCAATGCAACATATACAAACAGCTATCGGGTTTACCCATCTCTGCTGCAATGATTGAGAACTCGTGACTGAATGACATATTTTGTCAAATTCTAATGTATATTATTAAGCAACACTTCTTACAAAGTAAATATTGTATAATTTAACCATTACTGTGAAAAAGACTAGAGGTTTGCCTGTCTGTGTATTAAAATCTGCTCTACACCATAATTAGCTGCGCCACCTGCTAATCACAAGTGACATCAGCCAATTAAAACCTCAATATTCTGAGACTTTCCATAGTGGCAGCACAGGAATGGAGCACATGACAACTGACATTAGTTGTGCTTAAGTTGTTTAAGCTACTCAGTGAAGCTTTGTGTGTGCATGCAGCTAACAACAACATCTATCTGGTGTGGACGTAAGCAGAGCTTGAGCTATTAAGAGACAAGTAAAGCTTCTTCTTTAACCAGATGGCTGGAACACTCCAATAATAATAAGCTTTAGTTCAGTTACTCAACATTTGTAAACTCATATGCTTGCTTTTTATTTAAAAAAATACCAATGGGTAATATTATCCTAAAAATAGTTAATTTTGATGTGGATGTCATTTTAGAATAGATGCTGATTGTAAATTGGACTATGCATTGTGATTGTCTTTGAGTATGTCCTGTGTTTGACTACAGTCAAGAAAATGGTGACTTTCCTATTTCATTGAATGACAGCTGGGATATTTTCAGCCATTGTGTTTATCAAGTAGAGGAAGAGGCAATAAAAAATAGTAATCAGGCAAAAGCTGTTTGTTTTCTTGAGCTGCAACTAAAATACATTTTAAAGGTGATTTTTTTTATTTTGACTGTAAATTACTTCAATCTCCTGTGATGGACTGGCGACCTGTCCAGGGTGTACCCTGCATCTCGCCCGTTGTCAGCTGAAGATGGGTACCGGCACCCCTCTCGACCCTAGGGTGATAGAAAATGGATGGAGCAATGGATGGATGGATTATTCTACCTCCCCATATGCCTCAAAAGGTACAATACTACTGACCAGTAATGGTTTTTGTGGATATTTGAAACATAGTACAAAACATTTGGAGTATGTGTAAGGCTGTTCCTGGTTTTGAATATTCTTTTTCAAATTGGTGCTGCTTTGAAAAGCAGTTCCTATAAACAACACACGACAGTGCTAAACCACAAAACATGTCAAAGCATCAGAATCTCTGTCTAAACTTTATCGTGACCTTTATGACATACTGTGATGTTTCACAGTCAAATGTCAAGTGACCAGAAAAGAAGACCTCAAACCCTAAGACCGCAGCTCGGAAAATATCAGACTGCTTCATGTTGGAGGCAAGTTTAAGCCTCTAGCAAAGGACATAAATGTTCCTATAATGGGACCTTATGTTACTGTTTGCCTTTAAAAAGACTGAAACACGCAATGGAACTGACAGTATTTGCAGTTAGGCAAAAAGTCTATTTACTCCTTGATTTGCATGCCAACCATAGTCTCATCAACAAAATATTTAAATCGTCATTTCTATACATAGACAAAAAGACAAAAATCAGTCAATAATTTACTCCAGAAACCTGAAGAAGTTTTCTTTTAAACTTCTCGTCTAAGAAAGCAAGAAGTTTAACACTATGGCTGTTCTCTACCAGCAGTTTACATAGAGTCTGAATAGGAAGAGATGAATCAGATCAAAGAAAAGACAATGAATGTGAGTTTAGTAGTGTTGATAACATTTTTGAGGATCCAAAAATTGTGATTTAATGGCAGTGAATACCTAGGCAAAGAGGGCAAGTGCTGACAGACACGTGTTTATATCCAGGTGAGTACGAATAGAGCTTTTGTGAATTCTGCAGATTAATCAGGCATGTCATGCTGTTGTGGAGAAAAGTGAAGAATGCCTTGTAGCGGTTCAGGGTCAACAGCTAGGGATATCCGTTTTGAGATACTTTTACATAGGTGTTGATTGGCTAAGAAAACAATGACAAACTGAGAATATTCTCTTGTGAAACTATAGTTGTTTGATCTTTCCTTATAGATAATTGTATCCAATAATTGAGAACAGTCTCCCACCCCTCGCCCCGAGTTGTTTAGAATAAATCAATTCAACTAAAATGGCACATCTGACTGTTGGCCTTTAAACTCGAGACTGCCAGATGGCATCATAAGGAAACGAACGCCAAAAAACATCACAGAAACCCCCTTCAAAACACTCACATTATCTCTGAATCCTTGAAGCACCGAGAACACTGAGTTGATGAACTGATGAGCTGCAGCTGGTAGCAGGCTTTTCTTCGTCTGGTAAGTAAAAAGATAAGGTGAATACATAAACGCCATAGACGGAACCACTCGGGATCAGATAAACAAGTGCTAACAAAGGCTTCTTTCTCGGATTCCTGAGCTCAGAATTAGAGACGTAGAGCTAACAAAAGAGGTGAATATGTCCTATTAGGACACTGTGTAGTTATTTGGTAAGATGTCTTGACAGGTCTAACTGGTTATAAGCCCCAATGTTGTGCGAGAAGTCATTGGAGGGAGTACACTTCTCAAGGGATTGGTAATGACTTGACCAAAAAAAAAAAAAGAAAAACATGATCCCAAAGAGACAGATGCCTACAATAACCTATTTTGCCTTCTGCCTCAAAGATTAAATCATGGATAAGTGAAAGAAAATGAGGAACATATAACTAAAGATTGTAAAACTCAAATGTATTTTTACGTACCCATTTTCATCTCGGATGTATTGGGTAGGGTTTGGGCTTCCTGCTGTGTTGAAGCCTTACACATGCTGCACACATGCTGAGAGTTAAAGCCTTCCTGCCCTAACTGTGTTACTGCCCCAAATACTTGCATTTTAGGTTGTGGAGCTGCAGTGATTGATATTAGATCTGTTGTGTTATTCATAAGAATATCTAAACAAACTGTGTAGGTGTATGAAAAACTTCCCTGTCCTCCTCGTTTGTGCATACAGATCAGCACATACTTCTTTGAATGCATTCAGTGTGTTTGTACGATGCTAAACTTGTTTGATGATCTAAAAGATAAAAAGGATTAAATCAGGAAGAGGCAAATACTGGTGCGCCACACACCATTTTTAAAATCATCTAGCCTGACTGTAGAAAACTCTGTATGCTTTCTTGCAGACAACAGTTGTGGTGGAATTTCATAGTAACCCTTGTGAAATGTCTGTCAGGCTGATAAAATGCATTTCTGGATGTCACTGTGCTCTTAAAAGTTTACTTTTTACTTATAAATCCATGAGTTACACTCTTAAATCCACAAATGCCATCATGTTCAAAATCAACCCAGACTGACAGTTCAACTCCTGATTATAGACAGTATAAAGCTAAATATTTAATGCTAGGAGCATTTACTCCGAACATGCACGTCTGGCTTCAACACAACTTCCATAAGTATCAGCCATATTGATGGCAGATGCTCCCTAGAGCAAATGCAGAATGTTGCTCTGGCAGTTGGTTTAAATTCCCTCTCATCACATCTTCCCCCCCTCCTGCCTGCCTCCTCATTGTCAGGCACGTCACATTTGAAACAATCCTCAGGCAATAATTGCCATAAACAAAAAAAAAAAAAAAAAAAAATTTTTTATTTTGTGGGAAAAGCAGTCCAAATGAATTCACGCTACCATGGGGAGTGAGGGGAATGACGGCAGTGAATGAAACTTTGATATTCATACAAAAGAATGAAATCAATTTGAACGAAAAACATATCTCTCTTTTCTCTGCCTCTGTTTAGCTTCTTTGATGTTTTTCAGGGAGAAAAAAAACAACAACATGGCTCTGACGCTTTTGGGGATACAAGCAGCACACCCTGTTGATAATTATAGATTAGTTTTGCACAGACATTATCAGCATCAGTGTAAGCAGTTTCTTAATTATGTATGGAGAGATAAAAACGGTGAACTGAAACTATGAGGAACGCAAACACAAACACACACAAACATAAATACACATAAACATGCTCATTTACAAAAGCAGGTAGACATTTTAATCCTTTATTTCATTAGGCTGTCATAAATGAAATGCATTTTATTACCAGAAGTATTGGGTCATCCATCCAAATCCATCTTTTTGGGGATAGCTTCGGGAAGGCTCCATCCCGTTCCAACATGACTTTGCGCAAGTGTACAAAGTCTGGAGTCACACAAATGAACAAATTAGTGTGGGGGAGCTTGACTGGCCTGCAAGTTACAAACTCAACCCAAGAGAAGACTTTTAAGATGATTTAGAGCAAAGACTGTGAATCAGGGCTTTTCATCCAACATATCTGACCTTACAAATGTGCTCCTGGAAGAATGGTCAAAAATGACCATAACCACACTCCTGAACCTTGTAGAAAGGCTTGGCAGAACAGTTGTAGTCAATGTAACAATTAATTTGGAATGGTATGCCACTCAATTTTACAAGTATATGAAGGCAGATGTGCAAGTACTTTTGGCAATATACTTGATATGGGAAGTGCAGGAATAAATTTACAGTTCTTTTTACCCTGAACCTAGAAACACAAATCTATATATCAGATTATATTGTGATCACATTGTATTTTTTCATGTAATTTTGATATTTTAAAATAGTAATTTAGTGGACCTATAATTTCTGTGGTATCTGGGAGGAGGGGGCCTTTCCCCTCCTGTGCAACTACATGCATTTTAATGGGATTTTATGTGATAGACCAACACAAAGTAGAGCATTGGACATCACACTGAACATACCATCTGTAAAGTGAAACACAGTAGTGGCAACATCTTGTGGTAATAAATTTGAATTTGGCACACTACTCATTACATTACTGTAAGGAAGTTTTGCACTACTTTGTGCTGGATTGTCACTTTAAATCCTCAAGTTTGTAGCTGTAACAACAAAATGGCCAAGTGCAAGTGGAATGGATAAATTGCAGAGCACAGATTACCCAACTAACAAATGCAAAAGAAAAAAAAATGTATGATCTCCAACAACATTTTTTTTTGTTAACTTTCACCACCTTTTTAAAAAGATATTACATAATATATAATTACTTTTCATTTCAGCTTTATTTATTAAAAGCTAAAGCAGATAATCAAATAAATTTGAACAACGCACAGACGTAAAACTTTACGTGAAAATGTGAGTAATGTGCTAATAAATATCCAGAGTGGGAGCCAGGAGAGTTCTTTAGAATAAAGGAGAAATTGCATTGTTTTTTCTGACATTTATTTCCCTCACTGCTGTACCGCAAGTCTCATTTGATGATGCCATGGGGTTTGTTGGTTTCTACAGTAGTGATGTTGGGTCCATTAGAAAAGACTTTCACTTTACTTGTTGAGGGAAAAAAAAACTGGCTTGTCAAATCCACAGTTGTGAATTGCTGGGTGTTTCAGGAGCAAGCCTCTGAGGGTGGCTTTAAAGTGCACTTTATCACCATGGGGAGTCAGAGAAAATCACTTAGGGGGACGAGTGCTTTTCCTCTTTTTGAGGAAGACTAGTGGACAGAAGAAGTGGAGGAGAAACATTAGATTCCATGACACTCCACTCACTTGTCAGGTCACAGAGACACAGTTCCATTTTGTTGTGTATTACACCTTTGTCCCCATGGTGACAAGTATTAGGATGGATAAAGCAACTATGGGAGCTGAGAGCACAAAGGTATTATTGTCTCATTGAGTTTGTGCAGCCTTGAAAATCCTGGAATTCTGGGCCACTCAGTTTTTTTATGTCCATAAAATGCATTTACCACACTGACAATTGGAACAGACTTGCGGAGCTGTATGAAAAAAAACAAACAAACAAAAAAAAAAACTGTGCCATATTGGCCAAATTTCCAAAGGCTCCCAGGCGATAGCACCTCATTTGGTGGCATCATTAGACTAAGCCCTCACAGATCCCTTGGAGGCAAAAGACACACGGCTGCTGGACCAGTCCCAGGGTCAAAGCACTGCTGAGGGAGCATCTGACTGCAAGACACTGATGAATGTCAGGAGACTGAAGCCCACCAACCATCTGGCAGGCTAAAGACACTGTTGGCGGAATACTATCAATCTGTGTCAGGGTTAGAGATGTGGCAAATGACAGTAGTCGACTTATGATATATATATATATATATATGGTCGTGGTCTGTGCAAGTATTACGATAATTGAAAGAGGTCTTTCCTATAAGGTTGAGACCCAGCTAATTGTAGAGGGAAGATATTAAAAGAACAAATAACTACAAAAGGAAGAACACAGATCATCTAAAACCACAATGCATAAATCCATTCATGTAAATGATTTTACTTGCTATTATATTCAGGGCAGGTACAGAATCACCTATTCAGGAACCAGTGAGTAGCAAACTGTTTTTCACTATTGTCAAGTTTAGCTCACTAATAACTGTTTAGCATTTTCAATTAACAGCTGTCTAGGCAAGGATTCACGACTATTTATGACCTACGCTTCACATAAACCGACGAGTTCAAACTTGTATTATGTTCAGAGTTTAACTCTCCCACATTCCCAGGAGGAACTGAGTGGATCCCATATGTGCTTTTTGTTCCGTGCGTGAGTGGACCCCTCTCCTTCATCCGCCGTCCCCGAGGGATCAGATTGACCCCATGTATCCTCCCCCCCGCGCTCTGTCCTAAATGGGTCAGACTAACACCACAAGCGCTTTTTACAGGTTTTTTTTGGGAATTGATGGCCTGACGGGTCATCCCATCTATTACCCATCGTCCGACTGTGACATCTGCCATGATCTTCCCAAGCGTCAACCTAGAACTGCGTGAAGGATTAATTTCATATATTTAATAGGGACGATGCACACAAACATGCAACAGAACAAGTCTGTAACAGATGCGCTGCACCAAAAATATATACCTACAGCTAATGATCAGATTAGAGTAAAGCAGAATCTCTCCATAAATTCAGAGTTGAAAATTCTGAAAAATTTCCAGATCCTTGTATATTTGATGAATGTACAAAAAATGTTTTGCCTCCAAATGTATAAAAAAAAAACTAATAGAAATTTTTGTCACAACCAGTATTTTATAGATTTGATTTATGCTCAAGTTGTAATAAGAGATCAAATATTGCATTTTAATTTTTTTTATTTTTTTTTATAGTGATCAGGTTTTATTCATTTTAAGATATTCAGATGCCACCTTAATTACACTTTAATCAACTGAAGTTGAAGGCAGATGCGAGAAGTTTAAAAAATATATAACATTTCTATAAACAGAATTGGAACTATGGCTGAAATTTTCTGAAATGAACATCATTAGTTTAGGGGAAAAAAAAAAATTTTTTATTCAATGAAAATTAAATGTAAGCCTACATTTTGTTGTCTATAGGGGACTGATTAGTTTGTAGTTGCGACATAAATTCTGAGGCATTTCTGTTACCTTTATCTTCAATACGAGACTGTAAAACTCCCCACAAGTATATAATGCCTGGTTTTGTAAAGAAGCATATGCTCCTTTTACACTGATGCTGAAGCTCTGTCATTGTTCTGCTGGATCATTTTGTGCCAAATAGAGAGCCGACTTGGAAAGCAGAGAGGAAGACATTAGCCTCTCAGCATGGATGAGAGGACTGAGGAGGAGAACGAAGGATAAAAGAAACGGTTTTCTGCCATGTATCTTTGTGTTGTGAAACGTCTTCACAAATCATGATATTGTTTTCAAGAATGTTGCGGATGAATGAGCACACAGTGATGTGTGGCAGTCACATCAGTTATGTCAAACATAGTAAATTCCACCAAGTGGCTTCGCTGCTCCTTTATTATGACGGGAACAGTCTGCTTATCTTGTAAACATTTAATGCGTATATTACGCAATTTAAACAAATGGGGGAGAGGTAGAGAATTTAGTATTGGGTCATGTCTCATTGTTATGAAAAGATTTGTAAAAATAACAACTTGAATTTTCATAACTTATTTGTAAAGGGGAAAAAAATCACAATATTCAAACTTTCATTATTCAGAAGGTTAATTGTCAAAATCAAGTATAGAATAGTTAGATTCATATAACATTACCAAAGGGTACATACACAACGGTTCTTATTGTAGAATGTCAGTGTTCAGCACGTCGTTATCAATAGTGGATCAAACAGTCTCTAGTTTAGTGTTAACTTTACAAATGAAGTCAAGTCCAGTTTCATTATTGCACACTTCAGTAGCAAGGCAAATCAAAGTGCTTTACATGATAAAAACATAACATAATGAAGAAGCAACCAGAAAAAAACAAAACAAAAAAAAACATTATGGTGCCTAAATAAAGAGAAGTGAATACAAGTATGGGGAGGACAGCTGACCAGGGTTAATTAGAGTGGATGGATGTTTAAACTTGTAGCAATACAAATACTTTTTCAAGTCACCTTATCCAAGTTTTTAAACCACTTTACTTTGATTGAAAGATAATCTGTATTAAACCTACATAGCTTAGTGAAATAAAAACAGCCAATTTATGACCGGTATATAGATACACTTCAAAATCAGAGTTACTGACATTGTGACGCAGAGCAGGGAAACCACACTTGGAAAAAAAAAAAACAATACAGCTGTCTGCAGGGAGGAAGGCGGATGAAAATGAAGAACAAACTAGCTTCTCAGTGGTTGTTGCAAAAGATCAGAAACAGCAGCACAGAAAATACTGCTAACATTGTCAACATGTGACTGCTCAGACCATGGAATGAGGCTGAAATGGGCTAAGGTTTAATGGATTTTAAAACAGTGGGAGCCGTTGATTTCCAGCTGGTAAGGCAAACCTGCAGCAAAAACAACAGTAGGAGCATCTGTCTGTGGCTAATGTGTTACCGAGTTTAGACTTATTATGGCAGCAAGGTGACAAATGAAAATATAGGCAGGTTTTAAAACAAATCAAGTGTCCCATCCAGTTCTGGTTATTCGCTCCAGTCAGCATGTCTGCAAAGGGTCATAAAATAACCTGTAAACTACACTCAGTGTTTTCAGTTTACTGACACCAATACATTTTTGGCAGTAATGTTGAGATTGTAATGTAGAACTTTTGTTATTTTGATAAAAAAAAAAAAAAAAAGGAAATTAGCAGAAAAAAACATGAACAAATAAAAGGTGATTATCATGATTGCTTTCATTGAGGTATTATAGAATTACAGAATGCTGAAAACATATATGGCTTCTTTCAGATTTTTCTGCTTTTACTTAT